CTCCTCCTCCTCCTCCTCCTCCTCCTCCTCTTTCTTTCTTTCTTTCTTTCTTTCTTTCTTTCTTTCTTTCTTTCTTTCTTTCTTTTTCTTTCCTTTCTTCTCTTCCTCCCTCCCTTTCTTCCTGATCAACCTTCCTGTCCTCTCCTCTCTTCCCCTTCCTCTTTGCCTCTCCCCACTTCGTCCCTCCCTCCCCCCTCCCTCCCTCCCTCCCAACCTGTCCCTTACTCTCCTCCTTCCCTTTTCTCTTCTCTCTCTTCTCCTCTCCACTTCTCCCTTCCCCTTCCTCTCTGCCTCTCCCCCCCCCCCCTTCCTCCCTCCCTCCCCCCCCCCTCCCTCCCTCCCAACCTGTCCCTTACTCTCCTCCTTCCCTTTTCTCTTCTCTCTCTTCTCCTCTCCACTTCTCCCTTCCCCTTCCTCTCTGCCTCTCCTCCCCCTTCCTTCCTTCCTTCCTCTCTCCCAACCTCTTCTCTCCCCTCCTCTCCCCTTTTCTCTCCTCTCCTCACCCCTCCATTTCTCCTCCCCTTTTAAGGTTTTATTTAATTATTTTGATACACATTGAAAAAAGTCCTCCCGCTCCCCGAAAGAGACAGCAGCCATGGAAGGTGGCTGGAGATAAAACGAGACCTCTATTTCTGCTTCCGTTTTTTTCCAGGCAACGCACGAGAAGATACCCAGTGCAGAGTTTGCCCACAGGGGACCTTTTCCAGCAACCATTCCAGCAGCCAGCCCTGCCAGCCCCACCAAAATTGCTCCGCGCAAGGCCTTCGGGTCAACGTGCCTGGCACCCGTTTCCACGACACCTATTGCACCTCCTGCAGGGCTGACAAAGGCTGGGAGGAGGGCTCAGGTAAGACCCCCACCACCACCTGAGACTTACTGTCAGCTTTGGAAGCCATATTGAGACCAGATGCTCCCACGCTACCACATTTTGAGCCCTGGGAAAATGGGAGGGGGGGAATTTCTTGGAGTATATGTGGTTAGACATAACAACATTCTTTTTCTAAGTCAAGGTCATGTTATTTCTGCACCTGGGTGAGGGGACGTCTCAAGTTGGGACAGATGGTGATTGGGACAATGGGATGTGATGATGGATGCAGGGGGTGGATTTGTAGATTTAATTAATGCAAGGAAGCCCAGAACTTTCAGATTTGGGATTCCCCAGTTTGTGCCGGTTTACTATCTAGTTAAAACAGAACTTTTGAGAAGATGCCTGTCTCGGAGTTATTGGTTGGAGTGGAGGGTTGCTGGAACGCTGACACACTCCTCCTTTGTCTCTCTCTTTTGCTTTCTCCTTCTTCCCTTCCTTTCTTTTTCCTTCACTTTTCCCACCTCCTTTTCCTTCTCTCCCCTCTTCCTCCTCCTCCTCCTTTCTTCTCCTCCTGTCTCCATCTTCCTTCCTTCTCTTTCTCCTTCTCTTTCCATCTACCCTTTCTCCTTCCCTTCTTTCCCCTTCCCCTTTTACCTTTTCCTTCTCTTCTCTTCTCTTCTCTTCTCTTCTCTTCTCTTCTCTTCTCTTCTCTTC